TCTTTACTACAGATCTAGTTTCTTTCACCATGAAAACCTTTAAGACTTATATATTGTTATTTTTATATATAGTCCATTTATTTAAGGCAGTTGTAAACATAGGGTGTTTTGCTTTGATCAGAGCCATGCTTTAAGTAGAGGTCAGGAGTTCAGGTCGGGCAAGTCTCGACTTGTAGCGAGGGGAAGTCCCTTTTTTATTTGAGAGTGATTGTTTGTGCGGTCGGCGCACGTCATGAGTTATTTACAGGAAAGAGTGCGGCGGGTCAAAAGGTGTGTGAAAGGGGATTTGGCCCTGAAGGTGTATATTTTACCCGGTATTTTTGGGGGCTTATTTTGGGTCGATGAGGTACCCAGGGAAAATTGTTAAAATCTGGAATTCCAGATTTTTAGGGGATTCCCCCGATTTTTTGAGTCGATGTACTACCCAGCGGTTTTTGCTGAAAATGGTGGGAAAGGGGGTGTGCGCCACAACTGTCCTTTTCCAACTACTGTCGGAATTATTTGGTCTTGACTGGTATTTGCATATACATAATCCTATGGCCAATTATTCTTTTTATCCCTTGGTAGTTGGTACCAGTAGCACCCCGTTGCTACTGATACCGATGGAATACTATTACAAACTATACAGATCCCAAGAATTGTCCGTCCTGGCTTATGCTGCAATTTGTAGCCTTTGGGCCCAGATTACAGAGTCAATTATTTCAGTAAATCTTGACCCCATTGAAGGGGCTACAGTAGTGCTTTTTCAGGAAGACACTTTAAAGCAACTCTTTTGAAAGTACAGTTGAACATTGTCCATTAGAGGTCTTTTAGACTCGGCATATTACCTTGTTATAACAGGAACCTTGTATTATCAGGTGTGAAAACAATGAACAAAAAATTGGGACCTAAGATTTCCTCATGAGCAGAATCCAGTGCACAGTGCTCTTATTAATGAGGTTTGACTGTACATTCATTGAGATTATTCGCTAGCAAGGGCAAAGAATGCTTTGCACAGTTAGTTTGGAGGGGAAGTGAGGGTCCTATAAATATGGAACTCGGTGATAAAGGGAGCAGTTCTGCTGTGACAGCATCAAGCCAATAGTCATTGTTTTTGTCGCAAATTCCAGCTGAGATTTGTAGGGCATGGACCAGTTTTTGGCATGTGGAACTTCAAGATAATCACGCACCTCCTGCTCCAGTGTCCTTCCTTGATAGAGAGAGGCCAGATTTCCACTGTCCTTTCGTTATTAACATTTCAACACTTTTCCAGCTTCTTTCCCTTTTAATCCCTTCATCGAATAATAACTGGTAATCTGTAGTAATCAAACACCAACAAACTGGGGTTTGCCTGCCACTGCTTTCGAGCACTGAAGCCTGAAATTGTAGTTAGCATTCCTGATTTTGATATATGCATGATTCAAAGTTTGCAAGAGTTTAACTGAAAAAATGCAAACCTGATCAAAGTAGTTTCATGACAATTCAAACTCATATTTCATGAAGATGATCTCTGGTTATAACTTCCTCAGAAAGATATGAGCTAAAATCGACAAATGATTGAACCATAAACTATGCAAACTTATAAAAAAAATCCACAAAGGCAGTGCTTTTCCTGAGTTAGACCCTAAAAACTTGGATACCTTCCAGTGGAGCAGGGACAATCATTTCACACCAGAACTGCCGCTTGGTGTAGACACACTGAAAACCAATCTGTCAGCAAACATGCCAAACAAGGACAAATCAATTGTCCGAAATGACAAATCACACCACATGTTCTTTTTTCTTGACACAGGTTTAGCACATCATCATCCTCAAAATGCTGCTAACTTACATGTAGCTTCAACTTCAACTTAGCCTCAGTGAGTATATAGACAGAATTTCTTATCACAAATGTGCAGATTTCCAAGTGCCTTTTTTCTTAATTAATTGAGCGTGATGGATGTTGATGTAATGGCATAAGTTTAAATTCGCAGCAAAAGCTAGGCTCTTCAGGGAGTTTTAATTTGTCTGTCACTAGTTGTACACTGGATCATGTTCTTCACCACCAGATGGTGTACATGAAACAATACTATTGGACACATCCTTAAGCTGATCATAATCATTGGACTGCGAGAACTTTTTTACCAATTCATTTTTATAAAGAATAGATTATGCTCTGTAATGTTGACTGTGAAGTCAGAATTGGTGATGTTGGTTTCCCCAGTTCTGCGGAAATTTGAAGACCTGCAAATCTGTAGTTACAGATTTATTTTTGTTTTCATCACAAAAGTACATGTACTAGTTGTCAATTTTTTATTGTAAGTATCAAAAGTATTCGTATTTAAACCTTATTGCAAATTTTTATCAAAAATCCACAGTCAAATAATATGTTTTATTCTTTTTTTTCCTAATAAAGACAAATTGATCACCATCTTGATGATGAGATGACAGTGATGTATTCCCTGGCAACCAGAAACTAGTCAGCTAGAACTACCTAAAGAGAGGCTGTGTCATAGACCCCTTGCAGCTGGTACTCGATGGTAATGGTTCCTTTAACAAGGCAGTGTGGTACTTGCAATCCCTCTATTGTTTGACAGCTCTTTCTTTAAAAAAAACAAAAGATCCTGCAATACACGAAACTGATGACTTTTGAGACACTTGGAAACCATAAACAGCAAATATTCTGGTCCTTTTTTATTGTTTGCCTCACGTTTGAGCTAAATGCATGTATGCTCCAGATGGAACAACAAAACAGATAAACAAAATGAAAATAAATAAAGAAGGAAAAGGAACCATTGTGTTTGCCACCTCCAAGCTCCTCAGAAGTCTTCAAGTAGTAAAGTCAGAAATCTCGGGTTTTCAAAAATGTATTGTTTGGAATTAAAGGATCTTTGCAATGCAGGTTTTTACCACAACCCTTGAAAATGTGTCTTTTTGACTCAATGAACCTTATCACCAAAACCTTGTTTTCACTTTTGAGTGTGCTAGGTATTTTGTTGAGTAGGATGTGGAGAATTTCCCACAAGTTTGAATTTTAAGTTCTGAATGGGCTCGAATGATGTTCTCGCAATGTTTAGAACCTACCACATTGGGGAAATTTTTTTTTTAATCTTAAAAACCACTGAGTCATTGTTAACTGCACTTTTATTGTTTTTTTTGTCAGATGGTATACTCTTTGGAATATGGTTTTTGGCATCCAGGCCTGATTTTCCAAGGACTGAGTCAAAGATATATGTGGTATTTTTAGTATTTAGCATGTGTCCCTTTAAAGAATGACTCTACCTCCTTCAAATAAACAAGCCCAATTATTCCTGCCAAAGGTTTGATTTCATACCTGACCTGTTTTTAGTCAGTAGCCTGGGAATATGTTGTCATCATAGCAGCACATTCAAGGCCACACCGGAGCATGCTAGTACATTCAATCTGCAAGTGCTCTGTACCGACTGAATAGATTGTGCAGGCCTTCTTACTGGTTGTACTGCCCACGATGGCTCCACCTGCTGAGAGAACCAGATCTGCTACAAGCCATGTTATTTTGGATATCCGTCAGAATTTGTTGGAAATCATGTTCTGCCCACGAGATTGGACTGCTGTCATTGAGTTCTGAGTTTAAGATGAGTAAAACTGAGTTCTGGTGAAGTGAAGCATTCCCAACAGATCAACCTCGGAGTGAGAGAGATTTATACTGGAGTGGCAACTGAAGTGATTGTAATTTGGCAACGTCTCAGGCAGATGCAGGGGCATAGAACATTAGGAAGTGGTACAAACAGAGAGTAAAATTCAGCTATATGTCTGAAGCTGTGACATTCAAGATTAAGAGATTCAAGGAGTATCAGCCTAGTCTTCAAAATATTCTACTCATCTGCACATGTAAATGCAAAACTTTCAATCACTCTGAGTGCAGAGACAACTGTACAACCCATCCCAGAGACAGCAAACCAGACCGCAATTGTGTCCATTAAAACTGTGATTATCACGAAAACAAGGTTCCAGAAAGAGAATTCGGAAGAAACAAAGAGGAAAAAGAGAGAGAAAATATGAACCTGAAAAATTGGTTCACAAAACAACCCCAAAAGGAACCTGTGAGGGAGTGAGATGGTTGAGACTGAGGGCAGTGATGTTGAATTCGAGTCCCACCATCATGTGAAAACACAGAAACCTCTGCCAACACTAGCCCAAGTTTGTGCCCGGTATGGATTCATTTACAGAGCTGGAGAAACTACTGCAACTGTAACACTCACTGATTTCAACGTTGTATCCAAAGATGACAAACAGTAAGAGTTGATCATCACAAACTGGCAAGGGAAAGGAACGTCTTCGACGACAAATACAACATGAAGAAGAATCTGGTTGGAAGGAGAATATCAGTAATATATACATATGGTTGGTAACAGAGTCTACTCAAGGTCAGTCATTGAAGACCATTATTGCAGAGCCAGGGGCATAATTGCAGCATGTTACCCGGAAGTGAGCAAGAGGTTCTACTTTCAAATAACTTACCAGACAAAATAATGGCTGTAATGTCAGTGTTGGAAGGCAGGCAGGTGCCACCCATCAGCATGACTACTGCAAAGGCAGATGCATGTTGCAGGGCAATGAATTACCATTCAGAGCACTCTTTACCCTCGTCTGTGATGGTCAAACTTCAGGCACGTAGTCATTCAGTGGACTGTTAGGGAAAAGATTGCAGGAATGGCTGTGCTCACATGGAGTGGTTGATTTTGGACAAATCCCAGCTTCTCACTGTCCTTTTTTTGCCTCCTGATGACATCGTGGAAGGTCTTAGGATCAGCATCTTCTGCATAGACTAGCTGTGCCAGGCAGTCATCAGAGGAAACCTACTGGAGAAGATGACCTCGGACTCTTGGAGTCAGTTCCTGTGTCCTGGTCCTATTCCCCATGCTTGAGCTCAGAGAATGTTATGCCTTTTGTAGGAGGCAAGCATCACTCTCTTAAAACTTCTGTTGTGGTCAAGTTGGATGCCCCATGCAATCACCATCAAACATTACTCACTTCATACTGATGGGCACAAGACCGTTTTGTCGTGTTGACTCTGTTGACAAGCCTTAATGAGAAATATCTGTAGAAGCAGGTTGCCAAAAAGCCATTCAGTGCAGTGCTTTCTATGCTCATCCAGAGAACCTACTGCTGTCTGTTTCTGATAGTGAACCCTAAGATTCCAGAGGGGGCCCTACTCCAAGTCATGGAGATTCGTAATGAAGTAGGCTCTGAGTCAACAAGTTGCACCATTACAGGCCAGGAGAAGAGAACCTTGATTGTGTGGATGTTAAGGGGGAACAGTGATAAGGAAGTGGAGATATGGTAGAGTATGATGAATTTCTATGGGCTACACCCATAGGTCCTTCAGTTTGCCCATGGTACAATTCTATGCAACCTCGTACTGTCTGATGATTGACTTGAACAAGGAAGTACTAACCGAACCACCATCGATAAAAAAGAGATAAAAATCAAATGAGGAACTTCAAGAAATGAAGTACAACCCTGTTTTGTGCCAGTATATCCATGTCAACACACAGTCAGTAGAGCGAGCATTCAAATTTGTATCAGAGGCCTGTCAGGCGGTGCATGGAATGGATTTTTCAGACAGAGACTGTCTTTAAGATAGTGAATGAAAACAAAGCAGGACTTATAGGCATGCTTACGTAAGGCATGTAATGAGTGTTTCCCACTCTCTTTGATGTCCTCTATACACTGTTCTTTTTGTGGATGCAATGCTATTTTTCTCACCGTATCCTGGCAACAAGATATCTAATTAAATGCCCTACATGATGAAACTGTATTAGAGTATTTCATTTTATTAACTGCTTTCAAAAATGGCAACAACGAGAGAAAACTCCGCAAAAAAAACCAACTTAAGCTAAAAGCACAGAGGGAAAGAAAAAATGAGATGTTCTGTGTCTGTAACAGAACAGGGCTTTTTTGCATTTCTAAGCTTTTATTAAAAAATGTTTCAACCGAATGGGACATGTACTTAAAGAGATATAGGTTTCTAAATGATAAATCACGTGACTTGCCACGTGATGACGTTTATGATCACATGATGTTAATTTTCGTCTGTAGCACTTCCCTTTATGTCTATCTGCAAAGTGTCAACCCAGGATATATAATTCAGGTTTGCACCTGAAAGGCCATATCACGACACGAGAAGACGTCATAAAGATTCTTGTCTTGGATCCAGTACTGTAGCTGGTGGATTACTGTAGAGTGAGCAAGTAATGTATAGTCAGTCAGATCGACAAGTGCCAAAATTTGGCTGTTGGGGAAATGTGTACGAAACACATAGGGAAAAATTAAATATTCGACATTCTATAATAAATCGGGTGATGACGTCATCATGACCTCATACTTCCAGAATCATCTATGCTACTCGGTCACTGCTTGGGGTAACTTTGATGAAAATACGAACCAGCAAAGGGACTAAAGTCCTGAGTAGAAAAACCCTGTACAAAATGAATGGGATTTTGGAAGAACCAGAAGAAACTAGATTCGTTGTCTGTCGTTTTGACAGAACAACTGGCTTGTGCATATTTCAAGAGCTTGAGGGCTGTTTATTATTGTTGAAATTTGAAAATTGCATGTGAGCTGTAGTTAGTTGTGATTCACATCCATCACCAATTTTGAATTGTAAGCCACTTCTGGTTTCAACCTGAGCCAAGGGTCACGTGACTTTACGCACACGAGATAAAAATAAGATCTTAATTCACCTACAGCATAACGCAAACAGCAAGTCGTAGGAAATCACAGCTGATTGTGTGTACAAAGTGAACAGGATTTTGAGAATAGGAAGAAATGAAAAGATGGATTTGTTTTTTGCAAATGCAAAATAGCCAATAAAAAAATTGCTTAACCATAGCTCTGCATTTTTTAAGAAAAAAATTGTTAGTTTTTAAAATTTTTGTATTCGCTGTGGTAGGTCTTAAATATAAGGGGAACATTATTCTATCCCATTCAGAACTAAAAATGTAAACTTTCTGGAAATTCACTACATCTCACTAATGAGTATTTCTACATTCATGAGGAAAACTGTTACTGTTGCAGGGCGTGTGCACAAGCGACTGTTGGATTTTATTTTGCCGGTCAAAATTACCTTTTTGTTTCTTTGTTTATTCATCTTTAAAGTACATGGCAATATGCCAACAAGTAGCTCTTTTCAGAAACTTTTTTTTATCGAACATGAAAAAATCATGTGAACAAAAAACCGATGATAACCAGTGGAAACCAGCGTCTTGGTTACAGCAGCCCAGTTGTCCAGAAAAGCATAGACCATTTTTGAATCGTTTGTTAAAGGTGCAATGTTTTTTAACACACTCATTCCAAAAGGGATGTAGAGGTGTCATACACAGAAAAGAGTGTAGAGTAACAATAAGGTGTATCTCAGAAATAGTCATCGTTTGGCTCCGTTAATTTTAAGGAACATTCTAATACAAATTCAGATTACATCACCAATGTAGCGTATGTTTTGATGAAAAAGTCAACATCCTTTAGGTTTCTAAAAAGGTTGAAAGTTTAATCGTCAAATTAAATCTAAAAACTGAAATTTACAGTTTCAGATTATGAATGAATATTAGGTTGCTTTTCCCTCAGTTTTTCAGACATAATACACCCTTATCATTTTATACGTTTAAAATTAGTTTAAAGTACCTTTAATGTACCTTCTCGTACGCATATTTTGAGTTAGTTTTACTTACTGAAATCTGCCGTCTTTCTGGCTCAGTCTGATGAGTTTTTAGCATATTGTTTAAAGGTATTGTTTTGTATGTTAAGAAAGAAATTTCTCTACCGTTTTTTCCGATCAATAATGCGGGACGAACTAGTTTTCAGATGTCATTTAAGTTCAGCAGATTTAAGAGCTATTGGCTTGAGAAATCAAAACCTATATGTTACCCCCCTTCCTCGCAAAAAGTACACTCTCCAGGAGCAAGGCGTATAATTGTCGTTTGAACCGTAAACACAAGGGTTTTTTTGTTTAATATTTTTGACGGTCTTGTCTTCGCGTATGTTACGCGTTAGCTTTGTTTTATAAACGTTCAACTCGAATAGTCTGTCGCAAGAACAAAGCAATAGTTTACATGTACTTTCGTTCCGTTCTTGTGTTGGCATTTTTTAATTGCCCAACGCAGGCTCTGCCCCTGATAATATTTCAGCAAGGTTTAATTGAATCTAGAGGATGCTTTGAGCTTGTAAAAGCATTCTATATTTTGTTTTGCTCTACGTTGTTCATGAAAAAGAAAATAACACCCGAAGTGTATTCCAAAAATAATGAAGTGTAATAAACTGTCAAAACGAAAAGTTTACAACCTGCGTTTGAAGGGCAATATTTTGTCCATGGGAAACCATTGATATTGAAACTTGGTCGTTAATTTATATGACTGATTTGTAGTGCAGGTCCCACTTTTGATCTCAACCTCCTTGACCAATCCAAGACTGCTCAAATTGGAGAAATTGGCGCCCTTTTAAATTCCAATATATGGGCTTAAAGTTACCATTAGAAAGAGTTTCTACCGTAAATGTTTGGCGCATTGTGGAGGTGCTGTACTTGAAAGTGTGAAAATTCAGATTGAGGAATTTAATTCCAAAGGTTAAGTATAAGAAATATCTGTGTACTTTTGTGGTGTTTGTGGCTCAGTGCGAAAATGCCGTGCTTGAAAGGATGGGATGCTGGGTTCGAATCCCAGAGTTGACACCTTTTTTAAAATATCAAGTTAGAAATACCAACCCAAGTGTTAAGTATAAAAAAAAGACTGTGTGTTTTCAGAGATGCGTGTGGCTCAGTATGGAAGTGTTGTGCTGGAAACTAACGGATGCTGGGTTCGAATCCTGGTTGAGACAACTTTTTACATCCCAATTTACAGAATAAAATCCAAAGGTTAAGTAAGAGAAATGCGAAAAA